GTTCTTGAACCAATACTGGCATGGCGGACGAGGTAACCGACAGTCCCGTCTCCACCCCCGCGGTGGAGGTCAATGAGAAGAAGGATGACTTGCTGGTCAAGGAGTCTGTGGACATCCATGATGTGGAAGTCGCCCCGGGCTTCGTTGCTGAGGCGGACTTCAAGGGGAATTTCGACGATGTTCCCATCGGGGAGGGTATTATCCCTGAGGATAGTGACGAGTTCATCGATCCACGCCTGAAGGACTATCCCATACCCTTGGTGGCTAAAACGGTAGATCTTCGCAATGATCCGACGTAAGCTTCTTGTTCCATTCTCAGAGTTTATCGCATGGCTGATATCCAACCTACGCAGTGAACCAATCCTAACCTTCCGATTCTGGGTTCTGTCTACCTTCTGGGTGCTTGTTGGCTGCGCACTTTCCACCTTTTACTTCTTCAAGCCGTACTACAACTCAATCACCAGTTATGCCGTCCAATTGCTATCCTGGGGCATGGGTGATGCCATGGCTCGATATCTACCCACAAGGCAATTCAGCTTCTTTGGATGGAAATGGTCGATGAACCCAGGTCCCTGGAACGCTAAGGAGCATGCACTTATTGTTGTGGCCTACTGGGGTAGTGTGAGTGACTTTCCTTCACGTTGATAGTACGCTTGTCAAGCTGACAAGAACAGTGCTACACGGCTATTGGAATGGGCCCCTTGTCTGCCATCGAACTCTACTACGGCGAAAAGCTCAACGCTGGGTGGTCTATGTTCTTCTTGTTGGCCTCTCAAATGATCGGATATGGCTTCGCGGGTCTCTTCCGTGATATCCTAGTTCGACCCCCGAAGATGTATTATCCCGGAGTGCTGCCCAACGTGGCACTGTTCAATGCGATGCATCGGAACCCATCCGTCACGAAGAAAGCCCTCAAGTACTTTGCCATCATCGCATCTATCACCTTTGTGTATGAGTGGCTTCCAGAGCTCATTTTTCCTTTGCTGAGCTCTCTTCCTTTGATCTGCTGGTTTGGCCATGGTAACTGGAAGGCCTTTGTCCTGGGATCGGGTACCTATGGATTTGTCCGTTCCCATCTCTATACCTACAAGGTAGAATATGACTGCTAACTTTTGAGCATAGGGTATTCTGGACTTGTCGCTTGATTGGAACTATATCACCTACATGTATCCATACTATACACCGCTCTGGTCTAGTATGAACCAATGTATCTTCATCATTATCTGTGTCTGGATAATCTATCCCGCCATCTACTTCACCAACACCATGAACGCACAGAACTTTGCACCAATGGATACCGGTACCTACACTGCCAATGGCAGCACTTACGACGTTACGGCCATCGTTGGCTCCAACCTTGAGGTTAACCGCACTGCACTGGCTGAGTACGGGTCCCCTTACTGGGCTCCATCATATGTGTTCTACTGGTTCTGGACCTTCGCCGCCCTTACAGCCTCTATGACCTACGCAATCCTGTGGTATGGCAAATCGGGCTGGGAGGATTTCAAGAACGCATGGAACAATAAGCGCAGCGACTATGATGATCCCTACCTCAAGCTCATGTCCTTCCAAAAGCGGGTACCCCACTGGTGGTATCTTAGTCTGCTTGGAATATGTGCGGTGATCGCTATTGCTCAGGGCTACGAAGGAAACATGAAGCTCTCAGCGTGGGGCCTCATTGTCATCTGTCTATTTTCGTTTATCTTCACCTGGCCCAACGGCATTTTGTGGGCTGTGGCCAACACGCAGGTCGGAATGGGCTCGTTCAGTGATTTACTGGCGGGTGCCATGTTCCCCGGGAAGCCGACTGCCGTGCTTTCAGCCTATACCTACGGCTACTGTGTTTTGGAGCAAAACCTCAACCTCATTTCTGACTATAAGTTCGGGTTCTACATGAAGATTCCGGAGCGAGAGATGTTCTGGGGTCAGGTCTGGGGCACCGTGCTCGGTCCATTCATCAATTACGGCTTCATGCAATTGATCGTGGACCGGGAACGGCCTTACCTGATTGGCCAGCGGACCTCAGCGGCGTGGGATGCTGTGCAAAGCCGTGTTTACTATTCTAACTCCATCATCTGGGGCATCCTGGGTCCTAAGGAGTTCTTTGGTGAACGCTACCCGTGGGTGTACTACTCGTTCCTCGTGGGTGCCGGGGCTGTCTTCCTTACCTGGCTTGTGCAGAAGTGGAAGCCCCGGTGGGACATGGAGCGTTGGTTCAACCCTACGTTGATGTTTTATGGGGGCATATTGTTTCCGACGTACCCGACTACTAACTTCTTCATGTCTTTCCTGGCCTGCATTCTTTTCATGGGCATCCTTCCTCGGTATTTCCCTGTATGGTGGAGAAAGTACAACTACCTGACGGGTGTTGGTCTTGATTGTGGAACGCAGCTCATGACCTTGGTAGGTTGTCTTCGCTGACTCGATTGTGCCATGACTAACTTGCTGCAGGTTTGCATCTTCATTATCAATCTGCCCAATCTGTCGTTTCCCTCGTGGTGGGGCAATGATCCAAATGCGACTGATCGGTGCTTCCCTCCGGCTGATCTGCCTCCATATGCATTGAACTGATGGCGTGGATGTTACTGTCGGTACGATGATGAGTAAATTTTGCTTTACATGTGCGATGTCTGCAACGTGCGATTCGTTATTACCCTTTGTGTGACGATATCTGTTACCCAATACTATTTTTGAATCCTTCCCCTGTTTGTATATACACAACCCCTCTGCTATGCTACGATGCTTTTGGAGAACACTGTATATAGCACCTGGACAATTACACTATTCCCTGGTTCTGAAACTGAGACCATGAAAATCTCCTCAAAGTAACACTCAGTGTCCGTTCATTGTGAGCAAAGCCTACAGGGCCAGCAGAGTGAGGCACTACACTGATGACCACATAGGATATAAACCAGTATTCTAGCCTGCTACACTCGAGGAAGTACTGGTTTAGCGATCAGGTAATCTGCAAACAAACTTGTCACCAGTGTGAGGGTTTTGTCAATGCCCTCCGGCCAGCCGAAAAAAAGGACATCAGGAAGAGACACGCGACCATCTCGAACCAGAACACGGACAAAGAAAAATCTGGGAAGTGAATCCCGACAAAAAGGATGTTATATTTTCGGGTATTGTTGATCAAGCAATCCAAGAGATGCGGAACCGAGTGCATACCTACCCATGACGTAATGGCCATGTTCATATATTCATCCACGGAATCAGATGAGATAGCAATTACCACAACAATAATCGGAGCATATACTTCTAGTTTATCTCATTATAATCATGAGAATCATCCTCTTTGGCTCAACCGGGCAAATCGGCCAGTCCATTCTCCGCGCCCTCCTCACTAAGACCTCCCATGAGGTGCTGCAACTGATTTCACCGCAATCTGAATCCACTGCTCGCTCTATAAACAAGCAATTCACAGCAGAGCAACAAAGTCGACTATCCACTGAATCAGTGGACATTCTCTCCTGCAGTACAAATGACCTCGTCCACTATCTCATTAATGTCGAGATCCTCATCAGCGCCTTGAACGGTAAAGCGCTGCAAGCCCAATCAAAGGTCCAAGATGCTGGAGCAAAGGCTGGTGTGAGGAGATTCTATCCTAGTGAATACGGCATGCATCATGTGTATCGGCCGCCGGGGGATGAAGTTGGGTATCTTCATCCGGTAATAAATTCCATGCTCCATAGATCCTTGTTATACACTGAATACTGATGATGTAAGTACAGATGTGGAATACCAAATCCGCCGCCAACGAAGCCTGTCTCCACCATCCAGCTATAAAATCAGGCTCTATGACATACACCCTTATCGGCTGCGGGGACTTCTACAACCAGTCTCGTGAGGAGATATGGTGTCCGTGGACGAACCCTCATGCATCTGAATACACGCTGCATATACTCGGCGACGCGGATGCCACTATTGATTTCACGCACATTGACGACCTAGGAGAGTTTATCGTCGAGACGATCAAGCATCCGGAACGGTCGGAGAACCGGATGTTGAATTTTGTGAGTGATCGTATCTCGTATAATGAGATTGCACAGTTACTGGAAAAGTACTCTGGGAAGAGCGTGAAAAAGACAGTGTATCCGATCAGTCTAATGGATGAGGTGTGGAAGGATAAGGAAAGGGTGCCGGCGGAGGTAAAAGGGAAGGGAGCATTTCCGGATGATTTCTGGATTCTGGTGAAGGGGATGCAAGGGGCTGGGAGGTTTTGGAGACCGCCGGGGGAGGTGCATAATGGGGAGTTTGGGATGGAGGGGAGGACGTTTGAGTGGTATTTGAGGGGGTTGTTTGGGGGTGGATATGAAGTTTGATGAGTGTGCTGTTGTGGCTATATAATATGTATCTATTGCAGTTGTTGACTGCGTAGTTCTAGGGCGTGTCCAAGACATTGAGCAGACTATTTTAGGGCCTGCTGTCGAACCCCCGCATGGGATACCGATTGGTGCATTTACATGACTCTTCCATGTCCATCTTTGCCTGTTTCAGTCCATCATCGTACGATCAAGCATCTTGAAGCTTTCGGTGGCATATCGCTTAAACATGGATAATTACCCACGAGACATCCAACTTCAATCGCAGTATACCTCCAAAACGTACCCAAGAATATCTGCTGATATCTGATCCCAAATAATTACGATATACATTTACTAAATCCTTCACCAAATGCCAGCACAACCCCGCAGTCCACGCCCGTCAAAGTCAAACAATATCACCACTTAATATAACCTGCAGCAACCTGCAGCAACACTATTCCCCATCCAACACGGCACTTCCGGTAACCTGTCCCAATGCAAACACCGAACCATTATCCCGCAATGCTGACGTCTGCTTCAGATAGCCTAAATCAGGTGAAGTCAAACCCGGACACTATTGGCCTCGCCTGCAGATCTTAACCGGACCTGCAGGTGCATCTTCGACCGTTCCCCGCACGACCAGCTCAGCTACATAAGCTATGCTTTTTTTCACTCTCTTTCGTTCATCGATCTGTCTGCTTTCACTGTGTCTACCTACCTATCCATTGAGTGCAAACTAAGCAAGATGCGGTGGCTTCTCACCTCGTCCGTACTCTTAGTGCCGGCTACAGCCCTGGTTCGACCTGATGGCGTGGTATGTCACTTTCATTCCTACCATGTCTATATCTCGACTAACGAGAAGATATTCAATTGTAGGGCCGCACTCCTGCCCTTGGCTGGAACTCATGGAACGCATACAGCTGCGACATTGACGCCGACAAGATCGTGACTGCTGCTAATGAGGTGGTCAATTTGGGGTTGAAGGACTTGGGATATGAGTATATCAACAGTACACTTACCCCCCCCCCTCCAAATTCCATTATCCCCACTACCCTTTGGCACAGTTGACTGACAGAAACAGTCGATGACTGCTGGTCCGTCAAATCCGGCCGCAACAGCACCACCAAACGCATCATCCCCGACCCCGACAAATTCCCCAACGGCATCTCCGGCGTCGCTGACCAAGTGCACGCCCTGGGACTGAAACTGGGAATCTACAGCAGTGAGCACATACCCCAGCCCCTCCACTCCAAAGAGATCACCACAGCTAACAGAAGTGATACAAATACTAAGGCGCCGGCCTCACCACCTGCGCCGGCTACCCAGCCAGTCTAGGCTACGAAGAAATCGACGCGCAATCATTCGCTGAATGGGGTGTTGACTGTATGCCCCCCTTTCCCCAAGACCCCCCATCCTACAACCATTGACAAAAAGGCATAGACCTCAAATACGACAACTGCGGCGTCCCCACCAACCTCACAGACCAATACACCTACTGCGTCCCCGACAGCACCGACGGGTCCAACTTCCCCAACGGCACCTGCGTGGACCTCACCGACGCTGCGCCCACAGGATACGACTGGGCCACCTCCACCACAGCGAAACGGTACCAACGCATGCGCGATGCCCTACTCAGCGTCAATAGAACGATTCTCTACTCACTGTGTGATTGGGGCCAAGCGGATGTGAACGCCTGGGGGAATGAAACGGGGAATAGCTGGCGCATGTCGGGAGATATTACCGGTATACCCTACCCCTACCCCCCTAACTCCATACATACATACATGCTCTATAACTACCTACCTCCTCATGGATAATATATACTAATAAAGATTGGGTACGGATAGCAACATGGTCCCGCATCGCCGAAATCGCCAACGAAAACAGCTTTTACATGAACTACGCCAACTTCTGGGGCTATCCGGACCCGGACATGCTGGAGGTGGGGAATGGGAATTTGACTCTCGCGGAGAATAGAGCGCATTTTGCTCTTTGGGCCATGATGAAGGCGCCGTTGATTATTGGGACGCCGGTATACCTCCCTCCCCTCCCCTCCCCTCCCCTCCCCTTCCACCTACTCTATACACCTGACGGACATATGCTAATTTGAAATGGTGTTGTGTGTAGTTGGATTCCATCGACACCTCCCACCTCACCATCCTCCTCAACAAACCCCTGCTTACCTTCCACCAAGACGCCGTGATCGGGCGCCCCGCGTACCCGTATAAATGGGGATATAACCCCGATTGGACGTTTGATGCGGAGCATCCGGCGGAGTATTGGTCTGGGCCGACGTCTTCTGGGGAGGTGTTTGTGTTGATGTTGAATTCGGAGGACGGGGTGAAGACTCGTACGGCGGTTTGGGGGGAGGTGCCTGAGTTAAAGAGTAAGAATTCGAAGGGGAAGAAAGGTAAAGGGTTTAAGGTGACGGATGCGTGGACGGGTAAGGATTTGGGTTGTGTGAGGGATAAGTATGAGGTCAAGTTGCAGGCGCATGATGTCGCGGTTTTGGTGGTTGGGGAGGAATGTTAGTTCAATCTTTCTTCTTATTCTCTCTCTCTATTTGAGGGTTGGGTTGGGTGATGGGGATGATGGGTACTATTTATATAGTATTGTGGGAGCGTGGGGATGTGGATGATGGCGTAGTCATTATCATTATATTGCTCCAATCGCTATGCTGCATCGCTGCTGCCTCGCTGCTACCTCCACAAATCTTGTCGACTCTCGCGTCGCCATCCCCCGCTGCTCTTTGGTCGTCCATCGTCCACTGGCACTGCCAGGAATCCACCAAATCCATTGCCCACTAGCACGCTCTTGCGTGCGTCTCCGCCCCATGACCGACTGAGCTGCGCGTCGTGGAAGCTCACCGGTCGGGTTGTGCCATCGCGCCGTCCTCGTGTTGATGGTGGCTCGTACGGCGTAAAGTTCCATTCTAGCTCGTCCAGACCCTTGCTGTACACGTTCAGCGGCTGCGAGATCCCTCCGCTGAAGAACTGTGGTCCGCCCTCGCCGCCACCGAATAGTCGCGGGGGCGGCGCCAGCAGCAGTGTCTCCGGGAAGCTGGCGTCGCGCACGTACAGGTCGCGCAGTCCTGGCAGGCAGTTTGACATCAGCGACGAGATCAGGTACGTGTAGTAGGATGCAGCTACTGGCGGCAGGCCGTACGACCCCGCCGGCGAGGTGATCTCGTAGTGCAGTAACTGCAGCGACCGGGAAGACAGCGGTGGAACCCGGTCGGTCGGGAAGGACCGCGATACGTCCTGAATGACTGATAGGGCGTGTAGCTGCGGCGCAGCCGACAGGATCTGGTGCAGAGTGGATGGGAGCACCCCCGTCGCAGATAGTGTCAAATATTGTAGTTCCGTGCGGTTCAAAGGCAGGGAGAGAACGCCGGCAAGCCCGCTTGCCGTGACGTTCGGGGTATCGCGAAGGGTCAGCCGCTGGACGGCTGGGAAAGGAGGCAGAGTGTCGGAGAGGTCAAATGCCGAGTCATCCAGCCACGGCAGGTCGTCGAGGGTCAGGTCGCGGAGTTTAGGAAACGAGGCCAGCCCCAGGCGAAGAAGCCGCGGCTCAATGTATAATCGAGAGAGTTCCAGCACCTCCAAATTCTGCCACAGACGGGCTTCCGGCAACTGCGAGAAGCTGCCCTCGGCGCCGTGTCGGTAGGTCATGCGACGCAAATCCGGACACCGTCCGATAAGCTCCTGCTTCAACGCCAGACACGACGCGTCGTCGCTGTATATCCCCGCCGGCAGGTCAACGTAGCGTATGTTGGGCGTCACGGAGATAGTGCGCGCAATCTCCGCCTTGCTGGCCTCGCGTGTCATGTACGGCATCCGTAGGGAGAGCACCATGCGCCCTAGGTCTCGCGAATCTCGGACAGTCTGCATGAACAGCTGCAAGCGTACTTGTGGGGCATCGATCGCTTCACCATTGCGGTCGAAGAAGGAATGGCGTTTTCGTTTGGCGGCAAGTTGGACCTCGAGCTCGCAGTAGTGGACGGCGTCGATACGGACGTGAGCGTAACTAAAACCAGCGATCAGCAGAGAGCGGAATTAATGGACAAAGAAACTCACAGCAAAGCCCGAGCCTCCAGATACCACCGTTTACAGACCACGGCACAATGTGCCAGGTCGCGCATATCACAGAGCATGCAGCCATCCTCTGTCATCGACTCCTCGGAGGTATCATAGCTCGAATCGATGGTGTGTGGACACACATAGGTGAAGATGCGAGCCAGCAGCGGTCGGGGAAGCTTCTTTGTGAGGTCGAGGCCGGCGAAAGTGTGGTGGGAGTCAAGGCAAAGGTGGTCGTAGGAGGTGGCCACATTCCCCGCGCGGCTATGGCTCTTGGACCGCCTGCGAAGCCGGCTCAGTAAACCCATGGTGGTGAGCAGACAAGCGGCATGGACGGTTGCAATGGACTGGAGGGAAACGAGGAGCGAAGTTAAAAGGGGAGATGGAGCGGTGGAACAAAGAGACCGTTAGGGAGCCAGGAGAAAGGCAGCGTGGGAAGGATGCAAGAGCGAGTGAATAATCAACAGCGCGGTGATGATTGATTGGTGTCGGGAAAGCTGTGTGATGTGAAGTCGCTGCATGAACCCGCAGTTCGTCCCCATTCCAGCGCGTCGCTGGTCAAAGCCGGGGCCGAGCACCGATTTTTTGAAACGCTTGATTGGCAATTGGCGCAGGACTCATCACATTAGCAAGCGAAATGAGGGGAGACATGTCCCCCAGTTGGTTCATATAAGGGGGGCAGGCGGGTGTTTCATGTTTGCCTCAGGGATTGCTTGGTGGTTGGCATTTTGGTCCCATTTGCCCCAGAGGGTCTCGGCGGAAATTGATCCCAGTTCAACGACCGACGCCGGTGGCTGCAGCAGGGCTGAAAGTGCACTACATAATGGCTGGAAAGGGTTGAAGGGTCTTTTCTCCAAGCTGATGAATGTAGTAAAATTAAGATCCAAGAGTTGAGAGAGATCTCGCGCGGTCCTCGACGCGTGACCCCAAAGAGTGCCACTAACCCGATGGGGTCATGAGCAATACTCCTCCAGCAGTCTATATATACCCTAAAGCAACTTACCAACTTGCCTACCACTGCTGCATACTGTCAATAGAAAACTGCATCATAATTTAAAATAAGCTTATCTAGAACAGTCTCTGATCCATTGTCCTCTTCTGGCCACTCACGAAAAAACAGGGCTCGTCAACTACATCGCCATGACATCATGTCCAACAACCAGCCCTCAGGACAAATAAATAGCTATCATGCAGACAACCAAGCCAAATCACCTAGTACACTGCCAGGGTAGTCTATATTACCGTGTACATACTACTCCAGGCTATGCGACTTCCTAGACCCTTCCTCTGCCACTCCAGACCCCTGCCACTCCAAACGCCACCCTCCCTATTCAACCGCATCAGCTTCATCCAATTCCAGCCCACAGCAGCTAAAATGGCAAACAACACTCAATATGGAGGCGATCCTCTCCCCGACGTGGGCGCCACCTATCCCTCCCAGAACAACCAGTCCAAATCCGGCGAAGACGACTGGACAAAGCGTCCGCCCTACAGCATCCGTTCCCCTGAGGAATTCGGTCCCGTGAAATGGCGTGGGAAATGCCAATGCGGCCAGGTGACTTATCAATTAAGCCGGGACCGACCATTGAAGTCTAAATTCTGCCACTGTCGGGGCTGTCAAGTGACGCATGGTATGTCTGCCGTGTTGGTAGTAGCTTCTTACTTACGAGGTAGTGGCTGAAACATGCTGACTGTGTAGGCGCGCCATTCCAATGGGCGGCTATTTTCCATAAATCTGATCTCGCTTTTACGAAGGGGGCTGAAGGCCTGTCGTTCTACTCCTCCACAAATGACACCCAGGAGTATAAGCTTCCGACTAAGGTGTATTGTTCCTATTGTCGATCCCCTATTATGGATGAGGGACGGAATGTTTGCTTGATGTTTCCGCAGGCCATCGAGAGCGCTGATCATGATGAACATCGACAGCTCTGGCGCGAGGCATTTGAACCAGAGTGAGTGGTCCTTGGAGTGCCGGCTTAGATTGCATAATGCTTAAGATGTCGTATAGGTGCCATATTTTTTACGGCAAACGAGTCCTGGATATTCCAGATGGGAAGCCCAAGTGGTCGGGTATTGATGAGCAAAGTGATCTTTTGGATGAGCAAGGCCGCAAGAAGGAATGACTGGATGGGAAGAATAGTAGCCCCCGGAGCCGGATGTAGATACACATGTTTTGTTTTTCTCTATTATTTAGCTGTCACGAAGTATGAGCAATGATTAGGCTTCAGCCTTGCCAGAAGTTCCCGAGCAGCTGATACTACCAGCGGGCCAATAACATCGACTAGATTGAAAACATGTTCCTACTGTGTAAGTCCCCGTCCGGCTCTAAATCAGGGTGATCGACAGGGCTAGAGAACTTCAAGTGGTCATCACGAGCATGTGAGAGCCGGGAAGATTGGCAACCATCCAGCTGCAGTGACCACGAGTGCAGCTATGCTAGCCAGCAGCTGACAACTTCCAAACTAATCCAGTTCATACCCCTGAAATTTAGCACGATGCCATCCTCATCGGTCACTCCGGGACGTCAGGTAGGCACCAGGTTCATCCGCGAGACCTGGAGTGTAGGGCCGGGGTTAGCCAGCCGTAGATAGATAGCATCGCGAACATAGAATATAATATGCCGCGATACCTACATAGATGCTCTTCAGAGTAGGATACTTGCCATATAAACACTGCATGATGTGGCTAAAAAGCAAATACACCGCGGTGGCTCTTCTCGCCGCACCGGCGGCAGCCGTCACACAGATATCCAACGATGAAATGACCAACTTCCTAAGCCAAGGCGCTGTCGAGCTCGCTACCCGTTACGCACCTCTCTGGTTCTTCGGCCAGGCAGTGGATCAACCTCCCTGTTATCCGACCTGGGCTTTCAGCGGCTCGCCCAACTCGTCGGACATTTACGGCGCGGCTCACAAAACACCCGCTGCACCACAGTGCGAGTATCCAGACGTGGGCTGTGGATGTCGCAAACCTGGAGTAGCAACAGGGAATCCTGGTCCTGCATTTCCCATCTACTACACGTTTAAGCAGTGCAACGAGACCGATGTCCGAGTGGTGTATAACCTGTTCTATGAAAAGGACGGGGCCGAGGTGCTGGATCTGATTGACACCGGCCATGACTAGTAAGGCAAAGCGTAGACCAGGCCAACCTCTTTGAACAGGCAGTCTAACTTGGTCGACCAGTGACTGGGAACGAGTCGTCATCATTCACTCACGAAATGCGAACAACACCTGGCAACCTTCTCGTGCGCTCCTGTCGGCCCATAGCGGTTACCATAATCTGGCCTGGGGCAGCATCCATAGCACTTTGACCACAGAGCAAATAAACGCTGGGGACGCTCGAAATCCCGATGGTGTCAAGAATAATGACCATCCAAAGGTGTATGTGTCGTGGTCGAAGCATGCACATTTCGACACCGTCTTGACTACTTGGCTCGATCCGCTCAGCCAGTCACTCGATAATGCGTTTCGCAGCAATGACTGGTGGCACTTTGTCGACCAGAAGTACTATGTACGTCTCAGTATCCCTTGCCACAAAGTATCGCAGCTAACACCCAGCAGATACGATCGGATAACTCGACCGCAGCTGGGATAGCATTCAACAGTACGGACTGGGGGTCAGCGACGAGTAATCCGCCATACGTGCAACAGAGCATATGCTCTGCGCCGTAACAATCTAGTCGTATACAATTCAGATGATAGACATGTAGCGTAGAAGTCAATTGATGGATAGATGATCGTACTAGAATGAGCCTGTAGTATTGCAGCGATAAATAATCATCCCATCGGGAAACTGAAAATGACGTCGATGCGCGGTTCCCCCACCAGAAATTCAATCCCTCACTCCAACAACATCACAACAACAACCTCATCAAACAATTCCTCCCTCTTCCCACAAAACAGTAACTGTACGTCCTCCCCAATATACTACACACCACCTTCACCACCCCTTCCCATCCACTACACTCCCTCCCTCCCATCTCACCCGCAAACAACCCACCACCCAACCCCGCAACCTCAAAACCACACACAACAAACAGCGACAGCTAACCAAGCCAGTCCCAACTCACAAAACCTCAACAACAATGTCGTGGTACCAAAAGACCTTCACCCTGCCAGCCCGCTCACGCGGCAGCTACCTCATCACGGACGAGGTGCTCGAGCAACTCCCCGAGATCAAGAACTACAAGGTCGGCATGCTGAACCTGTTCGTGCAGCACACGAGCTGCGCGCTGTCACTGAACGAGAACTGGGATGACGATGTGCGCGCGGATATGAGCGATGCGCTGGATCGAATCGCTCCGTATGATAAGAAGGGCAATCTTTATAGACATTCGGCTGAGGGGGAGGATGATATGCCGGTGCGTTTGTCCTGTCTTTGATTAGAAGTAATAGGGAGGGGGGAAAAGAGGACTATACTGATTACTTACGTGTGTTGGCAGGCTCATATCAAGTCCGCGTTGATTGGCGCTTCGGTTACGATTCCCATCTCGAATGGTCGCTTGGCTACGGGTACGTGGCAGGGTATTTGGTACTTGGAGTTTAGGGCTATGAGACACTCTCGGAAGGTGGTTGCTACGATTCAGGGTGAGAAGGCTTGACTTGGTTGTGGTAGTGGTGGTGGTGGTGATGATGGTGGGGGAGTGCGGTTGTGATTGTGTAGAGTATACGTCTGAGTGGTGTATAGTGGATGGCGTACGTGTGTGGATATATCAGAGTATATCCTAGAAATTGGAATATTCGATCTAACGACTTCATTGACCTGGTACATCTGTACAACAGCCGTATGGCTAAAGGATAAAAACAAAACATCGTCAACGCCTATAAAATCAATCTTTACCGCTGCTCGAATCCACCCTCGGTCACACGCTGGCTCTCGTTCACCTCGGCGGCATCACCGGTGGGCTCGAGAGGGTAGCTGGTGGCGGGGAGGGACTGGAGGTAGGCACGGTGTTGCTCGTGGGCCTGTACATTATTAGCACGTATCATCGACACTAATTCAATGGCAACATACGAAGGGAAGACCGCAGTAGCCGCAGGTAGCAATCTCGGGCTTGTCGGTGTTGATGAAGACCTTGGGGTGGCCCAGGGGACCGCCACCGCCGTCACAGCTGACGACACGCTTTTTCGTCCAGCGGACGGGCTGTCTGTGGATGAGCTCAATGGCAGCCAAAGGTTGGGGCTGAGAAATGTTAGCGTCTCTTGTGTCTTATATATTGATATTGTCGTGATCTTGATATTCCCCATCCCACACGACCAATTGACCGGAACTGAGCGGAGAAAGTTATTGACAACGCACCTGCAACTCCATTATCGTCTGCTCGAAGCGAGGACCAACCATGGCCTTCTCCTTGGGCTGCTGGCTGGCAGCCCAGGTGGTAGCCCGGTTGGGAGCCTGGAGGTGACGGGTGCGCTCGCCCGCCTCGGGTTCCTCCCTCAGGGGAGCATCCCAACCGCCCATGGCGTCCACAGGAGTAGCATTGGTGCCAGAGACATTCGGCTTAGCGGTAGGCGGGGTCGGGTCGTTGGCAGGGATGAAGTTCTCGGAGAGGCGAGGGACGGTGGTCGAGTAGCTAGCCCGGGCGGCGAATCGGGGGGTGAAGGAGGAGGAAAGGGTCGCGACCCGGCTGCGGAAGCAGGGCAACATGCTGGGCAATTGAGGTCCGGAATGGGACACGAGAGTAGCTGGCGGATGGAGCGGAGGTGAGGACGAAAGGACTCGGGTTGGAGAGAGATTGGATGAGGTTTCCAGTTTGCGGGAGCTGCTGCGCTTGAGCCGCCGGCCAATCGGCGGTGCTCCTGCGGCTAATGCGGTGGGATTCTGCCGCCTGGGAATTTCGGCTTTGCAATCACGGCCATTCTGCTGGCTGTCGTTCTTCAATTCTAGATGACTTCAATTTTTGCTTGTTTTTGACGGTTTTCGGTTTTGCATTTACATCTTCTACGCATTCGTCATGAGGGGCTCTCCTACCTCTGGCTCCAAGCCAGAGAAGACCATGTCTTCGCGGCTGCTGACCATGAAGGTATGTTTAGCAACATCACAATTTATTTTCTTTTTCCGTTTGAAGAATACTAAAATAATGTCGTAGTTCATGCAACGTGCTGCTGCCACAAATGCTGCCCGTGAAACATCTCAGCCCGCATCCACCGACGAGTCCAAGGCCTCTACTCCCCCGAAGCGACAGAGATTGTCCACCGGCCCCGCTGAAAGTCCCATCGGCACTCCCAAGTCGGATCTCGAGGCGATCTCGGCTGCCCTTGCTGAGGAAGAGGAAAAACGGAAGGAAGCACTTGCACGCCAGGCTCAAGATTCGGGTGACACAGAATGGGTGCTCGACTATGGTGTAGCGGAGCCCGTTGCTCAGTATGCGCCGCCGCCGTTCATTGTCGCGGATGGCTCGCTGGATGCGGACGATGATGACATGGCTGTTGGTGGCCGACAAGCATACGGCAATTTCAAACGAAAGAAGAAGACCGCGGTTTGTTTCATCACATGATACACATTCAACCTTTTTCTGACATTTTGTAGACCGGTGAAACCGAGGCCGAGTCCGATGATGACGATGTTGATGCGATGATCAAGAAGGAAAGCAACAAGCCACATCGTGTCAAATTGTCACAACTCACAAGCATCTCTGGTGGAAGACATTCCACGATGGGCGACGATAAGAAGCAAAAGAAGCGCAAACATAAATAAAGTACACTTGAAAACCGACACATCTGGAGACAAGTATGTTCCGGGCCTTGCTTGCCAGAAGATGAGATTCGACATTGCCTTACCAATAAGTCCCGTTAACCCTCGCTTGGACGTGATCATGAGCCTGGTAGGCCTCATATGCTCGGTCGTGGTAGCCCGTCATGGGTGAATATGAGTACGGGTGGGCATCGGTACCACTCTTAGGCGCTGTGCCATACCAATGGCTTCTGCCAGGATATTTGTCTTTTGATCTATCATAGTCGACGACTGCATTCATTCTTGGTTCTACTCTGTCGGCAGTGGGACCGTACAGATATCTGGCAGACTGCGTTGCTGACCTACGGACAGCAGGTTGGCCGTTCGTGTACTGGTATGAGGACGTGTTATGCTGTCGAGTATTCTCTCCTGGCTGACATTGAGTTTGACGAGACTCTTCATCTCTTTCTTGGCGTTCCATGAGTTGTCTGCAAGAATCTTGGAGCTGCGCGTGTTTCCTGCGGCGCTCAAGCCAGGCCTCTTTGCCCAGCTCCAAGAGCTCACTCTTTGGGACTAGATGAACTGCTTTCGTCAGCCCGATCACTTTGAGTACCTGCATTACATACCGCGCTTCTGTGGAATGCCCCCAGTGTACTGCAGACGACGGGTCTGAAGGGTAGTATTATACTGTCTTTTTGGGTCGATTGGCCGGTATGCTTGCTGGTAAACGTTGGGAGGAAGCGATGAGCTATCTGCACGCTGCTCTCGTCTGCGGTATAGCGTAGGACTTCGCTCGTCCACCTCCACCCAGTATTCCAATTCATCGAAGCAGAAGCACATCTTTAGCGCGTATTCTAGGTACCAGCTATAGAACCTGACCTAGTCATCACTCGTCAGTATTCATCCACAGATTCAATTCAACACATTCATACATACTCCTTCGCATCAAATGCACTATCTTGTAAAGCTCTGTACTGGATTGCTCAAAGCGAGATGTTCATTCAGTCACACCCTGCCTATGCAGTGAGTAGAGGTGAAGGAGAATTCTTCTCAGTGAAATTGATCATGCTGCCAGCGTGGGACTGAACGCCGAGAACCAGCTATGCCTCCCTGGGCAGTCACCAGCAGGTGTTCCAGACGACGACTAAGCAATCCAGCGTTATCACCAGCATGTAATATCATTAACACAAACCATACAGCTTACAACCAGCACAAGCACACCAATTCACACCCACCAACCCTACACCCATAACCATAGCTATACCTACAACTTGGCCTTCACCTCTCTCTCCCTCTTCTCCCACCCCCTCTTCAACCAAAAATTCACCCCCAAATTCCACATCGCAACCGCCACACCCACCGGCGGCACCAACCACAACATCCAAGCCCACCACTGCGGCGTACTCTTCCTGACCACCCTCATCGCCCTCTGCACCTCACTCTCCAACTCCCCCTTATCCCCATCATTCCACACCACCACGGCCCTCGCCGACTTCACCCCCCGATACTCCGCCCTCTCCACCTTCCCCTTCACATCCCCCTGACTCCTCACTCGATTCTCCGCATCCTCCGCCGTAAGATGCGCATCCCTCTTCCTCAACCTCTCCATCTGCACCGTCGGATCCGAAACCCCCACCACCATCACCGTCCCACACAGCAGATCCATCCCGCTCTCAAACAGCAACGGCACATCCAGAACCACCGCCCAGTGGCCGCGCACATAGTAGTATAGCAGCGCTTTGTAGACTTCGCGCCGTACGGCCGGGTGCACAATCTTATTGAGGATGGCGCGGTCACGCTTACGAGCTTCGGTGGTGCCGAAGACGCGACGGCCTAGTGCTGGGCGGTTGAGGGGGCGGTTTGTGGTTGTTGTTGTTGTTGTTGTTGTTGTGTCATTGGGATCGGATGCTGGGAGGAGGAGATCGGGGGTGGTTGGGCCGAAGTAGTTCACGATGGCTTTGTACCCTGGGGTGCCGGGCTCGACGACTTTGCGGGCGATAAGGTCGGTGTCGATGATGGGGAGGGAGTAGGGTGCGGCGGAGAGGATGGAGGAGACGGTGGATTTGCCGGTCGCGATGGAGCCGGTGAGGCCTATTATGAGCATTTTGGGGGTTCTTTGTGTTGTTTACAGAGTAAAGGTGATGTTTCGTGGAATGTCAGGTGGGAGATGAAGTTGGAGAAAGTTGGTTGGTGATCTGCGGGGAGAGCTGCAACTTGGACCGAGGCCAAGATTACTAGTTACCCGCTGGATTGATTAATTCAAACACATGTTTCTGGTCTGTTGTTGAACGTTCAATGCGTCGGAATTATTTCGTGTCTAAATAGTCTATCGTGAATATTATACAGGAAGAGAATTTTTTTCCTCTCGTTTCATACCCCCAATTGCAATCCCACGGCAGGAAAGCTCTCTCTAGTACCTCCACGCTTGGGATATTGTACCTGTCAACTTCTCACTTTTCCTCCCAGCCGATCCTGCCGTCTGCCTCGCTTCTTCAATCATTGTAAACAACAACAACAGGTAATCGCGCGATATCAATAACAGTCGCAGGGAATTCGAATGTTTTCTGGAAGGCAGTGAAGAGTTTCCGGTCCTTGTTCCCCATCCTCAGGAGTCAGATTGACCTGCTCCCGAGCAGAGTTGAAGCGGTTTCTAGCGGACTGCATTTTGGTGTTGTGTTAGTATGATTGCGCCCTAAGAGTAGAGTATATCTATCGAATCCATCTCACCTGGCCGCCCAATCAACCAACTGCAGTTCCACACTTGTGGCAATTCTTGCCGGGGATGACCCAAACATCAGTCCCCTCTGAAAGACAATGGGGACATTTCATTCCGGGCATCTAGTATGTTATTAGCATCGGTCGCAAAAGGATAATTACACACATAGCAACTCACAGGCATGGTGACGGCTTCGCAATGAGATCAACACAAGGAGTAACAGAAAGTATAAAGCTCTCAACCAGAGGATCAATTGTGATGTAAAAGTAGTAAAAATCAACTGAAGGGTAGTCAAAGGATTATAGACTTGTTCTTCGACAGAGTTCACCTTGTCTGGGACACGCTTTTTTTCCACTCCATGAACTTAATCTCATCGGTCCCGAGCATCCCACCTATATATAGCCAAAACTGGACTTGTTTGTGTCCCCCCTCCCCCCTCCTCCTCCACCCCCCATTACGCCTCCTGGGGCAGGCGACCTATGTTCCCATCGGGAGATCTTCACCTTAGTCTGGACCGATTGATTGGAGACACGACCTGGCCGGACTCAATGCATCCAAAGATCAATCATACATGGACCCTGGTTTAGGCAACATGTCACGTCCGCCGCAGCAATTATTCGGATGACTCGGATCTTCCCGTCGATGACTTGCATCTGGGGGTCCCAGCTAAGGGGAACCTCAACCAGGGAGGGTTTCAGCTCTCCTTACCTTGGTGTGATAGATACGTGTTGGGCTATACCGAAAATCGTCTAGGTGGGTGGGAAGAGTGAGTGATGCATGCCACAAGGGCTGAGATGTGAGCGATAAAGGAAAAAGGAAAGAGAGACGTGAACTATAGCAGCAGAGCAGGGGGGGAAGGTAGGAGGGATTGGACAGGGAAAAGGTGACAGAGAAATTCCCACAAATCCCCGAAAGGACCACTCAGCATTTGAGATGCATACAACAGACCGTTTTATGCAAGCTACGACGGGGTTCTCGGTAACCGGGCCCTTGCTGTATGTCCTATGGCCAAAAGAGCAAATGGATTGTGACTGGTGTTGGGAGGCCGGGAGGATCAATCTCTCCATCCCTAATCCCACACATCGTAGTGGGCTCTCAGCACAAAAGATCAGCTCCGAATTTTACCCTCTGATGCTAACAATGTATAGGTCACACTCAATCTAAATTGATGCTCGATGCGAGTACGCTACCGAGTTAGCGCCGGCTGCAGCCCGTCTCGCGCATATGGCGGGCTTCAGAGACGCAATCCTCGATCTGCACAACCCACGGCGTTCCCAACAGCCACATTGTATTTCTCTCTGCATATCCTGATTTATGTGATATGCCCGTCTAGCTTCAAACGGGTGTCTGCTAATTACTCATGCAAGAGTTTCGTCGTTGTGCATGGTGTCGTACTCAATCAGCCGCAGGTTGTTGGCCAAGTGGGGAAAAGAATAAACAATTTCAGAAATAAAAGAAAATTTATCGTTCACTGTTGGCTCAACCAATGATGTGGCTTGAACCACTACAGCCCAAGGAGGCTGTCCAGCTGAGATCTGATCAGTGACACTCCGGTCCACTTGGAGCCCGGTTGTACGAATCACCCACCCTCCCATGCGATCTGAGGCTGTTCTACATGCCGATTTTTGGGAAATCCATCTTGTGGAATGGAAAACCATGGTGTAGAAAATGGCATTTCAACTCCTGCCTATGAAGCCATATTGTTTGCTACCTTCTGGCTGCCTGTCCCCTCATCTGCTATCAGACTAAGCACCAAGCACTAAGAGGACTGACGGGAGGGATGGAATGCCGATGCGCCAATGATCAGGCCGGATCAGTCAATTACACCACACAAAATCACCAGTCAATATCGGGACCCTGTCTTCTGCACAGATCTATACTGATGGTTGGGAGTGGTCTATTCGTTAGATGTACCAGCGCTGCGAATGCAACGTGCAAGGGCTACCCTGGGTACTTCGACTGCGCTTCTACTCTTGCTTCTATGAGTCGTTTTTCATTTGCATGCATGTTATGTATAGATTATTTTATTCTATTTTTATTTCTGGTATTCTTTTTTGGCCTGATCTTCGCGTTCGTTCCGTTCAAGTCTCGGGGTTATGAAGACACCCCGACACAGGTGGCCGGTTTCAAGTCCGACGGTGGGACAGGTGAACGCACAACTTACTTACTCTATCACAGTTCGGTGGATTAACCATCGCCAGACGTTGATCAGTCTATCACTCACGTCTTGGCCAGGAAAGCTCAGACCGACTTACGGCCGGTGATTCGCAGGCAGGAATTGGATACATATAAGCTGTGGAGCCCCTGACCTCGCTTGATGGGCCGAAGCGCGATCCGAATTATGCGGATAAGGAGGGCTGATTGGGCGAGGTTATTCTCCGCTGTTTGTCCCCCTCGTCGACCCTGTTTTTTCTTTTCAATTCTTTGAAGCAGCCATGCAGCTGGCACAGTCACACACTAATTCTTTCACCCCCGGGGCCAGTTCATCCCACTCCCTTTGCCTTCTTTCGGTGCTTCGAAGTGGCTCCGGACAAAGACTACGAGTCTAGCGCCAAATTACCGGCCACGCTAGACCGGTAGTCGCCCCCGAATATCGTAATTGGACACTAAAAGCAGCGTGATATTCATCGAATGTGACATGTCACACTTAGTAGATATGGGGGAAAGGAAGAGACCCGCTCCTGTCAAACAACGATGGCTAATCTAAGGAAGATAGTAACAATATACTATCTATCTATCTATCTTTCGGGATAGGAATAGGGATAGATACTATTTACGGGGTACTCTACCAGTGAACTCTGCTCGGTAGTAGTACTACGCTCTCCATCTGCATCTCCACCAACCAACCCAACCATCAATCCCCGCCCATTCCCATCAGTTCTGTTTCCCCCTCCCACCTCTTTGTTTGCTTGCTCGTCCCATATTCCCGGATTCCATCCATCCATCCATCCATCAAGCAGTAAATAAACCCAGATTTGTCAAACCAAACCAAACCAATTCCATCCTGCCGCGCCATCATCATTCCTGAAAGGAAAAATCGCACAGTTAGGCTGCCATCATTGGGAACTCGCATCACGCTCACCGCAATTTTTTTTCCCTTACCATTGATGCATTATAGCTCAGCAACAACAACAACAACAACAACAAAACTCTTCACCGCGTGTATCCACCCCTGGGGATAGGGGGCTTTTTTTTTGGTCCCTGATATCCCTCATGTATAATATAATCATAATGTAATGTTCAAGATTGATAAACTTTCGAGCCAAATGCATCTTGCATACGGTACATACATATCACCAGCTTATTCTCTTTTTTAATTACCCAAAGGCGTGGTGGGGAGGGAGGGGATGGCCCAGGTATGTGCATATGTAAGTCGTCCTCTTCTCGGCTTGCATGGGTCCGTCCGGCGGTCTCAAACAACCTTCGCCAGCTCGCCACAATTCCAGGATGGGTAGGGGTAGGGGTCGGGGTTCGTTCTTGCTCAAACGTCCTGCATTCGCTGACTGGTAGTACTGAGTTACTTCCCGGGGTCCTCGATGACTGACTGACTGGCTGGTTTGAGCAAAATCATTAATGAAGCTTTCCCGGCACGCAAGGTGATATACTCTCATCATCATATCCAGTCGTGCGCAGTAAGCCTAATTGATGCTACTGGATACTGTGTTGTACAAGCCTTTTCGGCGGTCCTTTGAGTGATCTAAATCCTATCCACTTCATTGGATGGATATCTACTTACTACTTTACCACGGGCGCATTGCATTGCGAACCATTCCTTTCTATTTTGTTCTGCAACCACTGCATGAAAGTGAGTGCATTAATTGCTAGAAATTGCCTCATACTGGTTACCCCTTGAAAAGAAAACCCGCCGTGGCCAGCACAGCGGGTTTCCTGTAGTAAGCTCTCCCTCTCCACATGTGCAGACGCCATACATACATTCATTTCATGTATGTACATTGATCGTACAACCGGACGCGCGCGAATTTTTTTTTCTGTTTCTTTCTCATCCTCCCTGCCTCCGGCTCCTGGCTTCCTTCCTTTCCTTAGACCTGCTCGACTTGCTCGTCCGATACCCCGGCGACAACACTGTCCTGCTTTTTCTCCATATTCTCGGAGCCGGTCTCGTCTGTGTGTCGCGTCAGTCGCTGGCCTGGGTGTTGCTTTCGCTGTTTTACGAGCTCTTTGGATATTTGCACGGCGCTTTTTCCCGGGGTGGTGAACAGGTAGTCGATCTCCTCGAGGGTTAGTTTGGCGGTTTCCGGGTAGCAGAAGTAAATTAGTGGGACGAAGGCGAAGTTCAGGCACATGAAGATGAGGTATGCTTTCCATTGCAGGCGGTTGATGATGATGGGGGTGATCATTACGACGAAGAAGTTCTTTTCATTTCGTGATTGTTAGTTGTGGAAGGAGTGTGGGATTACTACTAGTAACTTACCCAGATCCAGTTCGACGAGATACCCACGGCGGTTCCTTTGGCGCGCGCATGGAGGGGTAAGATCTCGGGCACGTAGCACCAGGGGATGCAGTTAACCGATGCGCCAAAGATGAGCATGTACACGAAGAAGAAGGCGACAGCAGCTGACGATGTTGCATGCTCGTTGGCGTGACCCTTGAAACTGAGCAGGATGGATACCATCATCATGCAGATGCCTAAGCCGAATGATCCCCAGATCATGGGAGCTCTGCGACCGACGCGATCCACGAAGAAGGTGGGGAATATACTTCCGACGACGAACATAATCTGAACGCAGCCGCCGAGAAGGTTGGAGAGATTCTTGTCTAGGCCGACGTTGGTATTGAGTACGGTGGGGATGTAGTATCTGGTTTTCTTAGCAAGGCTTTCAGGATTGTGCGAGGTGAGTTCTATGCCCAACATACACGACCATGTTGATACCACCCATCTGATTCATGAATTGCATACCGTATGCAAGAAGGCTGCGCGGTTGTTAGCAGATGATTCGCGATAGATAAGACGCAAGACTTACACTCTGTGGCCTGTGGAAACTTCATCCCGCTTGAAGACATTTCTGGTCTCGTCAGCTTGCATCAAATTGCGATGTTGAAGGTGGGCACATACCTCCACTTGTACTCGCCGTATTTTGTCTCCACGGAAATAGCCTCGAGGATTTCTTCCTGCTCTGCCAGGATCTTCGGGTCGTCTTTTGGGCGCCCATACACATCACTTAAGATCTGCAGCGCTTCCTCGTTGCGACCTTCCTTGTAGCAGTACCTGGGTGATTCGGGCAGCCCGAATACCAGAACGATGACCACCTAGATAGATAATCTGCATTAGCCAGAAGCTCCAGTAAGACACATAATATTATACTTACAAAAGCGAAAATCATCTGACACGCAATCGGCAATCTCCAAGCGATCTGACCGCCAACATAGCTCATCCCGTAGTCGAAAAAGTAGCTACCATCACCATCAGTATAGCAACAAATGAAAATGGCCACAAGTTGAAATGACTCGAAGGAAAGAAGGGATATACCTAATAACAATCCCCACCCCAACCAACAACGGCTCACTACACACCAATTTCCCGCGCTTACTCGCCTCACACAATTCCGCTTGATACATCGGCACCGTCGACGTCTCCACGCCCGTCCCGATGCCCGTCACGAATCGTCCGACCATAATATGGGGGACAGAGAACGCGGAGCATTGGAGGGTTGCTCCGATCTGTACCCATAGATATATTCATATTAGCAAATCATATCACTGTTGTATAAAGAATGGGGTGACATACGATAACCCAAACCATAGCAAACCACATCGCCCTCCGTCGACCAAGCCAATCACCTAATAGGAAATTGACGATACAGCCGGCGAAACACCCCAGATTGTAGATGGAGACGATGATCCCCTCGAGACTGTCGTTGGGGTGGTTCATGGTGGCGAGGAAGTCGTCGTTTTCCACGATGCCGGAGAAGACGCCTTGATCGTAGCCTGCATAGTATTTATTAGAACAGATAGGAGTTAGATTTGGGGTGTTGGGTTGGAATAGATAGGACGGGGACATACCGAAGAGAATGAATGCCATGCCACAGGCCGCCCATATTGCGGCTTGGAGGGCGAAGCCGGTGCCGAAGAGGTTGAATTTTGGCATTTTCTTTGTACCCTTTTTCTAGTATTTAAAAGTCGCATGTAGGGAAGTTTAATCAAGTTCTCTTTGGCTCAATTCTCCAGTCGGAGATGGGACGATGCATCACTATATATGCACGGTCCCAGGTAAGTAGTGAGGGTATGTTGTGACATCGGACAAACCCCGTCCACCCCAGCCCCGGCTG